TATCAGCAAGACACGTCATGTTGAGAGAATACTAAAATGAGTCTGGTGACAGAATTGGGCCTAGTGCCAGCAAGACTCAGAGGTGAAATGAAATGAAGTTCCACAGACTTTAAACAGACACTAGGCCCGCTCAGACTAGACTGGAAGAGCGTGCTTGGCTGGCCTGATCTACATGACTACCATAAGCCTGGTATAAGATTCAATTCTGAGACTCTACATAAACTGAAAACAAACAGAAGTAGAGATTCATGATGCTTTAAAAAAAAAATCTGCTAAAGCAAAAAAACTGTTTCAGTCAAACGAAGGTGACATTTCCTTAAAAGTAAGACACGCCAAGCTCTGAGACACATTAGCATGTTGCAAAGTGCACATAGAGCACAAAGCAGTAGTGTGAACAAGAATCCAGTCGATATAAACAAATCTTCCAGGAACAAAAGCCTTGTAATGACCACAGAGTACTTGCTGCATAAAAATACAAGACGTCATACCAAGGTCACATGGATGACTTGTTCAAGGCAGTAATAGAGAGTAAGTCAAACATAACTGCACGCTGTGCAAACTGGTCTATCTTTACAAAGATAAACACAGGTATGTTTGACAAATGTGCTGAAACCTCTGAAAACTTTCACATTAGAGGCAAACATCTGCATCGGACATTTGACATTTTGCTTTCCCAAGTCACCTATAATATAAATCATCTTTTCTATGGGCTCTCAGGTACATTTCAGCACATAACCCATTATTTAAGATGTGGCTTGTTGAGTAGAGGTGTGCTATTACTTTTCAAAGCAATCAGATTTACAACTTTCACCTATAGCTGACCATAAAGAGAGTGCAAAAAACAGGAGGGACCTGAAGTTATAAATAGAACCAGAATTTCAGAGACTTGAGACTGGAGAATGTAACCATCCAGAAAACCCTATAAAAGCACATTAAAGTCCACTCAGAATGCCTTAGCAACCGTATAGCAACACACTGGCAACCACCCAGAACAGGCCAGCATTGTAGCAGCAAGTTCTGCATGGGCAGGCAGCACTTTTCTTTACTTTGCAATTGGTTTTATGCAATTATTGCAGGATCTTCAAAGCGAGTGTGGACTGTGGAGTAAAAATAAAGACACACCAGACCTTTGCTGTCCACTGCACGTCTCTCAGTAAATATGGCTCAGTTTAATGCAAACATTTCATTAAAACTCCCAAGGCTAACTTGTGGAAAATCACAGTGCAGCAGGGAGAAAAGGCTCCTTGAGATCAGGAGGAAAAGCAAACAATCATTCAAGCAATCGTCTGCTGCAAATGGCCTGCCTGTGTAAGCAGCACAAAGGGTGTGGCTGCTTTCAACTGACAAATGACTTATTTCCCAGGAACACTCAGAGATTTCCAAAAAGTTCCTTTTTTTGGAAAAGGAATAATCTGCAAAAAGCAGATTTTTTATCTGATAGCGAAAAGGCAGTGCGTTCTAGAGCTGTTTTTAGGTCACAAGCCCAGTGTACAAGTAAAAAATTGAGAAAAAATCATTTGTCACATTTGCAGGAAACTTCAGTGACCTCACCAGAAATCAACGACAGTGTTTTAAACCCCTAAATAGTCTGAATTATTTAATTGCAAGATGACACTAGAACCCCATTTAGTCTAATGAATTATTTGCACTGAAACAAATATGCAAGGATGAAAGTAAGAGAGTGTGAATTACAAAAGCTGTAAACACAGTTTATTATACTTTTCATTACCATTTCCCTCCCATTCTCTCATTTGCGTTTCCTGCATCCATCTGTACCAATAGAAAAATCTGTGTCATTGTATTACATGACAGAAAATCAAACGAAAGACATTTTTAGAAAAACTTGGTTCACTTTCCTTAGCAATATTTGCCTTTTTAACCAACTGGTGTCAAGGGCTTTTAGTGATTAGATTATTGATTATTGTTTAATCAACACTATCACTAAATAGCATCGTGTATTTGTCCCATATGTATGATTATTATTATGATTATTACTTAATCTGTGACTGGATTGGGCAAATGTCCAATGTCCACTTAATTGTTACTTCGTAATGAGTATTTGGTATACCTTGTAAAGTGTCCTTGGGAAAGGTGCTATATAAATTAAACGTATTATTATTATTCATATCTACAGTAGAATTTAAAACAAACTGCTGTTGTGAAGCATTCTAATGTTTACAGATAAATGCCACTAGGGTTTATATGATGTAACCAAATGCAATGACATTCATAAATTTTTAAGTGCAGATAATTGTTCAAACACTAGTGTAAAGCTTTTTAAGACATGTATGACACAGAGACTTGAAACCAGCTGAGGAAAATTAAACCTCTTTGATTTATGCTTCAAAGCTGTGAGATGATTAATAGTTTAAACTGATTATTTTGCATGTTCTCTTTTAACGCAAAGAACTGTGATGAGGAATTCCTGCTTTTCATTAAAAAGTGATGAAATTCAAATGCACTGATTAGTGCTTCTGACCTCCTATTTCACAAGGTTATTACCATTTTTGAGTGAAATCTGAGAAAAGAGCACAGAAATATGGCACATGTTTCAAGCAGGTTCACAATTTATTTATAATGAATTTCTAAAAATCACTATTTAAAGACAGGTTTGGTTATGAAATACTACAATGGATGTGATTATACGCTTTATATTCAGTCTGGCAGGGCCCATGGTCAAGCTTCATTCAAACTCAACTGAATTGTAAATCAGAGGTTCTTAAAGTTTTTGATGACATGGACCCCAAAATATGAAGCTCCCCATGCAAAGGAACCCCTTCATAAAATATAAAAGCAGCTACATATTTTCATGTGACAACACATTTATACTATGCGATTTCTACTATGTGAACAATTCTTTTTCCACCACACTGCTAAAAACTGCTGTCAAAAGAAAAAAAAGAATAAAGTAATCCTCTGAGTTCTGACCAGTCATTAGAAAGCAGAAATATTTTCAAACTTGGTGAATGCAAACATAAAAAAAAAAAATTATACATTTATAAATATTTCATTAAAAAAGTACACAAAGTATCTTTGACAGTCCCCAAAAAATACTGCAGAAAATCTTTTTATTTCTCTCAAATTTTTGTGAACCCCAGCACACCCTAGTTTGAAACAGTACCAAAATACAATTCACACTAGGACAAGACATAAGGAAACTCAAATCACTGGTTACGTCCTGTACTGGATGTAGATTGGCATGGCATGAGTCGTTCTAATTATTTTTTACTAGGAAGACCAACTACAAGGTATCCAGGCCAGTTGGATAAAGTGGGACACTGTACTATATTCTGAAACTCTGACTTAGAAGAATAAGTGGGTTATATCCTGTGCAACATTGATTTTAATTTATACTTTGATGATCGCTCCAAACTGCAAAGCAAACAGCCCCATCTTAAAATGCATAAACAATGAACAAAATGCATCAAAATGCATTCTTGCCCACAGCATAAACAACGCTTAATCACAGATAATGCTTTCCTTTCAGTTCTATCAGTAAAATGAGGCCAGGCATCTGCGTACATAGTATATCATTATGAAAGGAAGCATAACCTTACTTTGTTGCCCTTACACTGGGTGGGCTATTCCACACTGAAAGTGGAGTTATAAATAAGGGACCAGTGGGTTCCCCCACAGCATTAAAAGTTGAACTATATTACTCCACAGGCATCTGGAAAGGATTGATCAGGCTGCATTAGGAGCAGGAGATATTTATATAGCAAAGTGCCAGCCGAGTAAGTCTCTGAACACTGGACAGACTAGTGCATGGTAGCACTTCGAAATGAGCCAGCAGCCATCTTAAGACGTGAGCTAAGACACATTCCTCATGGACCATCTAGCACGTGTTGCTATCCAGCCTGTTTTTCTTGCAAAACACATGACGGTGATGTATGTTGCCTCTGGAGCTCAGCATGCACTCACAGGACGCCGAAACTTTCCCTTCCTCACATTCACTTCTAAACACTTTTACCTCTGAGAACGTATAACAATAGTACAAATAGCATAAATAATGTGGCAAGTGCAAAGAAAGGGATTACTTTTCAACTAAAATTCAGAGAGCACCCAAAAAATATATGCTTGTAAATGTGTAAGAAAAAAATGCATAGCAAATCATTGCACATATATGTTTAAATCCATGTTTCACTCAGAGCAACAAAGTGTATTGAACAGGCGTCTCAAATATAGCTCAGCAGCAGACTCACATTAGGGTTACATTACAACTAATCTCTAATCGATACCATGGACTAGAGAACTCAAATGTAAGTGCAGTGCATCACAGTTATTATTGTTGTTTCAAGGCAGTATGACAGCAAACAGAGGAGCAGGAGGGGGGATTTCAATATTCAAAGTGTGTATTGTCTAGCTGATCTGATTAATCCTTCTGTTGCGTTTGCCAGGAGAGATCTGACCCGTCTTTACATGATGCTCTGTAAATCTAATTCCTCTGGTGCAACGGTGCCCTACATACTGGCATTTATCCAACTGACAAAGACCTGTCAATCATACAGCAGACTAAACCTCAGGGTGCACTGGCATTGTGAAAGTTTGGTGCATGGTGCATGAAGCATGGTGCATTAGAATAACAGGTGGGGGTTCAAAGGAATGAAGACTGCTTTTTTCC